AAAAAAGAAGAGAGATCATTTATTTCGGATAAGGGTGTATAACATCATTAATGGTTTGTGTTGCTATCTCTTTGTGTGGCTTGGGCTGTTTGGTGCTGTGGGCTTTCTTAGCTTTTTTTCGCGACAGTGTGTTTGGGTGGATCGAGCATAATGCAGCTATTTTCACTAAGTTTTCTTTATGGTCTCTCTGGCTTTTGTTTTTTGTTCCTCAGGTTGGTATAAAATTGTGTGCGAATTTCAATTTTCAATGCTTAACTCTAGTGACGCTCCTGGTCTGTGTCCAGTATGATCTTGTTGAGTCATTTGACTGCAGTATAGATAAAAATTGACTTTATAAGTTGTAAGATGAGCTTGTAAATCGCAGGAGAAGTCTACTTGATTATTAATGACGCAAGAGGGTTACTAACATCCTTTATATTAGTAAGTAGAGTAAAGACTGGTGATCTAAGATGGATTGGGATAGTAAGCAAGTGTTCATTGGAATGAGAAAGCGAAATGTAAGGAGTTATGGCAGGGTGAAGTCTGCAGTTAAGTTCTTTATCAAACTGACAAAAGTGGATAGAGAGAGAGGATGAGAGGAGTAATGTGTCTTTTAGTGCATATTACGAGCACGAGCGTTATGTGTAAGTTGTGAATTTCATTGAAAAACAAACCGAGTCAAAGAACCTGACCGCGCCAGTAGAAAGAGTGAGACAAAAGAGAATGTAAGTTCATTGAAACTGTCAAGAAACACTTCACGACGAATACAAGAAGAAGAGTGAGAATAATGAAGTAAATAGATATTTTTTTATCTGAAGTAAAATTCATGCAGAACGAACAGTTAAACGAATTTATCCGCAGGATGCATATTCATCAGATTCGCATCCTATTTCGATATAATAGACAATGCAGTTCAAATTGGTGACACTAATAGAAATATATCTGACGCAAGATTCGATCACAACCTGGAACTGCTAAAGATAACACATGGGATAACATTCAATCTCTCACCTCTCTGGTGAAAATAATGTTTGGACCTTTACAATACATTCATTCGTATAAAATGGAAGGTCACATTTATTGTAGATAAGAAATTGGTTAGGGTTCCAATAAAACAAACCACCAGGATTCTTGGATTGGTTTCGATGACGCTCTTCTATGCAGTTGCTGGATATAAATCTTGGCAAATGGTCGTATCGTATATTCTCAAAACACTGCAAGAGAAGAAGCAATAAATATAACTTCAAACTCACAAACTACCGAACAAATAAAGAAAGTAGATTGTTTTCCTCAAAGACTCGACATAAAAGATTGTATGGAGTCATTTCGGGAACCATGCAGAACAGGACAAATTTAGTGGTCCAATTACAACAGGAAAATCATTTGATTTTAAGCTTCGTTTAAGATAATCTGTTAGAGATTCCTCTCCATTAAGAAGCATATTCGATTTATTCACCATGCTTTGTGCAGAAACATTCAGCTTAAATGTAAAGTTCAGTAGCGACGCCTTACAATGGCACATACTAATACTGATAATGATATTACTGCTTTAATCGCAACTCTTAAAGTTGCTTTGCTTCAGATTCAAATCCACCGACAAATAAATTTGTTCCGATAATGAACCATCACTATGATAACGAGGCATGTAGAAGCTAGTGGAACAGTTATTATTACAAACTGTAAACCAGCAACTATTCTGACAAAGATGGATTTTAATGAATGTTTCATTCATTCCAAAGTCATTCTCTTAGACCTAACATTTATACACAGACTTGTAGAACATTATACAAACGAGGCTTTTATGTCTTTCCTGTTAAAGGTTATGGATTGGATTCCTATGGACGGTTTCATATCTGCAAAGAATACAGATAGTTCAAGTGCAGAACATCTTACAGCAGCTTAATACGCCTATTATGTTAAAAGTATTTGGGCATAATTTAGAAGAAAGACAACTATTATGTTTATAACTTTTGAGAACCCTAAGTTGAAATATCATTGCAGGCTTTCATGGGAGCTTATGGATCATGACCTGCGAACCTGAAAAATCATATGGACTGTATTTTTATGAAATGGTTGCGAAACGCTTGCAATACAAACAACTGATATGATAGGATTTAATGAAGATGTTATGGAGGTCATTGTGGGATGAATGATATGTGGAACATAAATGTAGGATAGCTATAAACAATTCTTATGTGTTTTCCAACAGAAGTGGACTTTTGCTTCACAGCAAGGTCCAAACATCTACTGCTCCAAATAACATACAAAATTGTCTGTTAAAGGACGTATTGAACTAGCAACTTGAAACGTACCAAAGCACTTATTAGGATTTATGAGGGATTGTTGCTTTGCAATAGAAGTAAGACAGTCAGGCATCAACCAATAATAAGACTTGACGACTATAAATTAGCAACTGACGACAGTGAGGAAAAAGGAATGAACGTTTATTTTTAAAAGCTTAAATAGTTCTTCATTCAAGCTCTCGGTGAACCTTACTTGTGTGAACAAACATGTTGACAAACGAGTTATCGATGAACTTGCAATCTTTCGTGTTTCATTAAAATAAAAATTAATTTAAATTTTTTTGAAAAATAAACTTAAAAAATCTTAAATCTAATTTTTCAAAAAATATTTTTATCCGATAGAAAAGATGACAGAAAATAACTTTTTTACATAGCGCCAGACCCTTCTTGCCCCAATCTTTTTAAGCCACATATATAAGGTAATAGAACTAAATAGAAGAAAGCGAATATTCAATAAAAAGCGAAATTAACAGAAGAAGAGAAATTCAACAGAAGAAACATATAGAGACCTAGATAACGAAACTGGATATGCACTATTCTGGTTAGATTGTCCTTATGAAATGTATGAAAAAAAGGCTTTATATGAAGAATATAGAAAATATTGTCATGAAAACAATATAAGACCAAGCTCTAGAGAAAAATTCTATGCTGGTATAAAACATCTTTTCGAAGTTCGGAATGGCAAATATAGAAAGAAATATATTTTTCTAAGTTTATTTTTTCAAAAAATATTTTTTTATTTCCTACTAAAGATGTATCGGAAGTTGTCTAAGTTAGAACACTCGGAAATAAAACAACTTCTTACAGAAGCTAATATAGATGTTGCAAAGCATTACACAACAAACAAAAAGGCACTCGCTGACATCCTCAATGACTATAATGGTGAAATAACTTATGATAGAATTCATGAGTTCATAAAGCCGCAACGCGGCGAGGACGAAGTCCATGCAAGAGCATTTCCTTTAAATGACGTTGCTATTGACTTATATCATAGACGTTCAATACCTCATGAAGTAAGAAGAGAAATGTTTGACATAACAAATGCAAACGTTGGTCATACTCGTAAAGCTCTTTCACATGACGTTCGTCAAGAGATGTTTGACATAACAAATGCAAACGTTGGTGAAACAAGAAGAGCTGTACCACATGAAGTAAGAAGAGAAATGTTTGACATAACAAATGCAAACGTTGGTGAAACACGAAAGAGAGATGACACACTGAAACAACAGAGAAGAGAGATGTTTAAAAGTGCTATAGAACAAGTTCGCAAAGCTAATAATGTCATTCGTTCCATTGACGACAAACCAAAAGAAGGTGAGAGATGGTTAA